TATAAAGGAATATCGTAAGGGAGATCTTTGATGATGGAATAGTTCTATATCTTGATGGCGGTACACGAATCCACACATGTGATAAAATGGCAGAGAAACAAACACACACTGTACCAGTGTCAATTTCCTGGTTTTGATATGGTTATGGTTAGGTAATATGTAACCAATTGGGGGAAACTAGGTGAAGGGTACCCAGGATCTATCTCTCTATTTTTGGAACTTCTTGTGAATGATTTCAAAATAAAAAGTTGAAAATCTGTGGAGTGAGGTCCAAGATAGGCCTGCCTGTCACAGTTATGGAGATTCTATTTCATTTCTTTTTCTGCTTCAACATTTTAAACCCCGTCAATAGTTAAAAAGGCCAAAGCCACTGTTTTTATTATTCCTTTCTTGCTTCCAACTTCCTTGACTGTCCATGAGCTGAGGTTCTGGACGAAACCACAGCTAATTCAGAGAATGAAATGAAAGGCGAAAATGCTGAGGCCACACCCAGGGCTTATCCTGATTTATTGCTTGGAGGTTCATGGTCTCCAAGGGGCCCACAACAGTCTGTAAAGGGCAAGAGGCCATTGCCCAGGCTGGGCACTCCAGGTGGCCCTGGCTGTCAGGCCCAAAGCAGGTGAAGGTCAAAACATCAGATGTACGCTGGCCTTCTAAACCACCGCATGGGCTGCTGGGGAGGGGATGACGGGTGGGACGTCCACAGACATGTTCAGCAAAGGAACAGCTTTGCATCCTGTTCATTTTCACTACGTATGCCAGGGAAACCCAGCATATCTGGCAATTGGCTATTGGCAGCACATCGAGGAGAGTTGTGGCTGTTAGCCAGAGGTTGTGCTTGAAACGAGATTTGAGTCCACAAAACAGTAAGGGCTCTCGGAGGGTGGTGAGGGGCTGGGGAGGGATGGCGGAGGAGCAGGAAGAGTTCTTACCTCTAAAACAAGGTCTGAGTCTTCATGCCTCCCAATTGTAGTGCTTTTATTCAGGACAAAAAAGCCTTCTGCGCTCTTTAGATAGGCTTTCATACTCTCTCCTTTCCCTACATAAGGTTTTCAGAAAAATAATTGTGTTAGAAAAATGAAGTCCTCTAATTATTCAACAATATCATAGTTAGAATGAATGAAATACACCATCATGTCCAGAGGAGAAACTGGCAGACATGGGCGTTTATAGGACTTAACGATGACTACAATTTAATTCTGCATAGTTTAAAGACTCTCTCTTTAGCAGTGGTATCTAGCAGAGATGAACTTGGTTTTGATAATCAAACAGAAGACATATTTTTTTAAGGAACTCAGAGCACAAACAATAGCTAAAACAACCCAACGACAAATCTGAATTCCACTGATAAGTGTTCTCCATCTCCCATTAAGCTTAGTATGAGGTGAATTATCTGACATATCAAGTCTTCACGTTCAATATTCCTGACCCTCCACTTCCTAGCTCTGTGACCTTAGGTGAGTCACTTAGTCTTTCTCTATGCCTCAGTTTCCTCATCTGTAAAATGGGGCTAATAATGCTCTGCATTCCAAAGGGTTTGGTGAGGATTAAATGCAATAATATGTGTGAAGCATTTAGAATGGTCACTGTTACACACTAAACACACATTTGTACTACTACTATTATCATTGTTAATCTTGGGCTTCTTGAACTCTGATCCAAGGAACTCTGGGCTTCTACAGAGTTTCTTAAAGTGTCAAGTCAGTCATTGAGAAAGTGGACTTTAAATGATACTTAAAAAAAAAATCTATTTCTTCATATACTTAGGGAAAAAAAGATGATTTCTAAAGCCCAAGGTATCAAGATTATAAAATAGCTTGGCCATATGATTAGGACTCTGCAAATATTTCTTCCCATTTTTTATTATGAAAATGTCAAACACACAGAAAAGTTGAAAGAAGTGGATGGTGAACTTCTTCTACAATTGACATTTTGCTCTGTTTGCTTGATCACATATCTATCCATCTATCCATTCACCCACCCATTTCATATTGTGATGTGTTTCAAAGTAAGTTCTATATACGAATTTTTTTTTAAGATTTTTATTGGGGAATTGGGGGGATGGCAACAGTGCTGGGGAATTGGGGGAAGGGGAACAGACAAGTTGCTGTCTTTTGTTCTTCAGTCTAGTTGTGGAGGACGTTGCTTCACTGGCCCAAGTTGGCACCATCATTGCGCTCTTCCCGGGCGAGGCAGATCAGTNTCCATATTCCTTTCCTTTGGAGCCCGAATGTTGGCATGGAACTATCCATGCCTTTGTGGGATCTTTGACTTGTGGGATTGTCTCCATCTCCTTGCATCTTTCTGACTGCAGGAATCAAGCCTGATTCGGCCACTGCTGTGTTCCCAGGAACGCCTCAGTGCTGAGGTTGCAGGTAAATATTTGTGGAATGAATGAGGGACGACAAAGGCAAAACCCAGGTTGGCTAACACAGGCTTCCTATTGTCGTTAGGGAACCAAACTCCTTACAGGTTATAGAAAAATGTTTGGAGGGAAAAACCCTACAAATATCAATATTGATTTCCTCTGAGCCAGATGATTCCCAGTGGCTTTTATTTTCTTCCTTGTACTTTGCTTTCTCTCCCAATTTTTTAAAAAAAACAATAAGCATGTAAATGAACAAGTAAATGATGTTAAAATATTATGATATCAACAATCAAAACAATATGTCGACCTTGCAAATGAGTATTAATCTTTAGAAGCCCGACTGCCTATTCTCTAGGATTTACCTAGGTAAATGAAACAAACAATCTTTTTTATTTGCTAGATGTAACCTCTGGGTACTTTCAAAGATGACCTTTTCTTAATATATATTTCTCAACTTTATTTAGTGGAATGATTTCTAATGGCAACTATAAATTGATTATTGAATTATTCCTTAGGGTGGCCCATAGCTGATCAAGGGTGATTCTTCTAATCAGAAAGGCCCAATGCAGTCAGCAGAGAGGCAATTTTCACCTTGTCTTGTTTTATAAAACTGGAAAATGTTGACATGTCTGCAGGTTTCGATTCTTCAAAATGGACCTGTGTCCCCACATCCCTTTTTAAAGCAAATCTCCTCTCCCAAATTCATTTAAGCTTTGGGAAGAAGGTTTGCCTAAGAGAAGATAGAGTGCCCATCAAAAGTCTATTCACAAACCATTTGGCAATTCATGTATCATCTGTTCTCGAGGGAGCCAATAGAAGCTCACGCTTCTGGAAATGCAACTTATTTCTTCATAAATCAATATGACTGTTGCTGGCGGTGGTGGCTTGCTTTTTAAACTAAGTCGAAGGAGCATTAAGCAGTCAATCATTTTTTATACAATGAATGCAACTCAATTTATGTCTGCAGGATAATTATCCTCATTAGTTCCCTTTTCCAAACAGCTTGTTAATATCAGTGGGTCCTCATGTCAGCCCTGTGTACCTCTGAGGATGCCTCTCCGTCTCCATTTTATGAGACAACGACGATAATCGTGGTGTCGCTTACTTAGCACCATGTGCCAGGCACTTTATATGCGTTTCTTACTTACTCCTCACAACCCTGCAAGATAAGTGGTTTGTAGACAGGGAAAATGAGCTCAGAGCGATCAAGCAATTCGTTGAAGTCACACAGCCAGAAAGTGGCCTAATGAGATTCAAACCCTGGTCTGTCTATCTCCAAAGCCTGTGCTTTTGAAAATTACTACAGTCAGGTTCGAAACAGAGATTTCTGTCTCTACTTTGGACAGAGAGGAAGTAAAACTATCTAAAATCTATCCATTGATATGTATAATAAAGAGACTGTGATTCTTTTTCTTTTTTCCCTCCACTTTGTACACTGAATAGATTTTCTGTGTCCCTGTAGGGAAACCATGACACAGATGAGAACCTCAAGGGGAGGCCTGCTGAGTTATTTTTAAATCTATTGAGTATATAATAAACACTCTCAGATAACTATAAATAAAGGGGGCATTTTCTCAACTTGATAAGAGCATCTACAAAAAACCCTACAGTTAATGTCATACTTAATGGTGAAAGACTGAATGCTTTCCCACTAAATCAGGAACATGCAAATATAAAGATTTATACTTCACTGATTGCTCTTATTCAACAGAGTAGTGGAAGTCCTAGCCAGTGCAATAAAGCAAGAAAAAAGAAATTAAAGGCATTCAGATCTTCTTTTCTGAAAGGAGAAATAAAACCATTCTCTTTTTTGCAGATAACATGATTATTTATGTGTAAAATCCCAAGAAATACCAAAAAAAACCCCAACCTTCTAGAAAGTTTAGTTTAGATACCACATAAGCATACAAAAGTCCACTGTGTTTCTATATAATATCTGTGAATATGTGGACATCAAAATTTTAAATTTCACCTGAAACTACTACTACTACTAATAAAATAAATTAATAAAATAAAAATAAAAATAAATATAATACCATTTATAATCACTCAAAAAAAAGAGAGAGAGAAATACTTAAGTGTAAATATAACAAAACATGTACAGGACTTGTATACTGAAAACTATAGAACACTTTTGAAAGAAATCAGAGATCACCTGAATAAATGGAGAAATATACGATGTTCATGGAGTTGAAGACAACATAGTCAAGATATCAATTCTTCTCATACTGATATACAG